ACGGTGTGGTGGCTCACGCCTGTAATCCCAGCCCTTTGGGAGTCCAAGGCGGGTAGATCTTGAGGTCAGGAGATCGAGACCATCCTGGACAACATGGTGAAACTCCGTCCCTACTAAAAACACAAAAATTAGTCAGACATGGTGGTGCGTGTCTGTAGTCCCAGCTACTCAGGAGGCAGGAGAATCGCTTGAACCCAGGAGGTGGAGGTTGTAGGGAACCAAGATCACACCACTGCACTCCAACCTGGGCAACAGAGCGAGACTCAGTCTCAAAAAAAAAATCAACTATTTAAAGTTTAAACATTTTTAAAAGACACATGGTTCAACAGAAAAATGACAAGAAACAGGAACAAGCATTCCACAGGAGACAAAATCCTAATCATGATGATATACCTACGAAGTCAGCAGAAATTAAGAATCTGATAATACCGAATGTCAGAATGGATTTGGAGCAACAGGAGCTCCTAATACATTAATAGAATCTCTTCAGAAAACAATTCAAGCCAGCATTTGTCTACATGGATACAGCACTTTCCACTTAGATTTACATTCCAGAGAAACACTCACACACAGATAAAACACGACAATGTTCAGGACAGTCAGGTTCTCGACGGCAAAGACAAGCAGAACAAATGGAGAGAAGAAAGGGAAGGAGGGAGAGAAGGAGGAGAAAAGGCAATGAGACAACCCAAACACTCATCAGCAAGAAGACAGATTTTAAATTCTGGTATATTCATACTAGGAATTACAGCAGTGAAAACAAATGAACTACACACAAGGGTGAATCTTAGCCACGTAACAAGTGGAAAAAACCAAGTTACAGAAGACAATCAGCAGGAGGATTCCTCTGTTAGAAAACAATCTAAATAAGTAGTTCAGGGAAACACACCTATGTGATTAAACGGCTTCTGAAATAAGAGTCTGGTAAACCTAACTTCAGGCAGATGCTAAAGTGGGGAAGAGGCGCAAGGACACAGGCCCCTGATTTCCTCATTTGGGTGATGGGTTCAAATGCATCCACTCTGCTGGTACAATTCAGGACTAATATTGCCATTATTCTTTCGTATGAATCAACTGACACAACTCAAAAACTCAGACATTCTACACACAAACCCAGCCTAGGGCCCTCGAAGGCAAAGGCTCTGCAAACCCGCAGATGTATGGGAGGCTAGAAAGAAATGACATACGGGGTTTGGGGTCTGGGGTTCAAGTGTGCAGCGTTCCTTCAAGCAACGACACTGAATGGGACCTTCGGTCACAGGCTGACGTCTCCTCTAAGCATCAGAATGCACTCATTATTGCTACAATATAAATAACAATGACATGATTACAGTGTGAGGCAGTTTTTCTACTGTAAGAACCAACCTATAGACAAAGCTCAGGACACTTATTTAGAGCTTCAGAATGCATTTACCTGCTGTAAATCCTTAATTTGTTTCTTAAAAAATAATATAACTCTTCAGAATACATTACATTAGAAAACTTTAATTCCTAAAAATACAACTCATCGTCAGACTGCAATGTCAACGTTAGAAATCTTTATTTTAAAAAGTAATATACCCGGGCCGGGCGCAGTGGCTTACGCCTGTAATCCCAGCACTTTGGGAGGCCGAGGCGGGTGGATCACGAAGTCAAGAGATCGAAACCATCCTGGTCAACATGGTGAAACCCCGTCTCTACTAAAAATACAAAAAATTGGCTAGGCATGGTGGCGCGTGCCTGTAATCACAGATACTCGGGAGGCTGAGGCAGGAGAATTGCCTGAACCCGGGAGGCGGAGGTTGCGGTGAGCCGAGATTGCGCCACTGCACTCCAGTCTGGGTAACAAGAGTGAAACTCCAACTCAAAAAAAAAAAAAAAGTAATATACCCAGTAATTTGGGAAGTCATGTAGATTGCTCGAGCCCAGGAGTTCAAGACCAGCCTGTGCAACACAGGGAGACCCCATCTCTACAAAAATAAATAAATAAATTAAATTTAAAATAAGTGAGGTGTAGTGGCACATACTGGTAGTCCCAGCTTCTTGGGAGGCTGAGGTAGGAGAATGGCTTGAGCCCAAGAGGCAGAGGCTGCAGTGAGAGGACACCGCACCACTGCACTCCAGCCTGGGCAACAGAGCAAAACCCTGTCTCAAAAGATAAAATAATAAAGTAGTATAACTGCTCAGAATTATTGTAAATCTTACAAAAGTTTCTTTGTAAAAGTAACTGAGATGGAAAGGAAGGGTAAGGGTACGGAATTTTTTTCCTGCAGGAGTGGGGAAGACGGCAGGAAAGATGCATCCTTTTTCCCTCTGTGCCTCCTGGATGTGAGGTCCACGTGGGCTAGCGTGTCACCGAGCAGCATTGGCCCCTCGAGCCTCCTGTGCACTCCACCGCCACAGCCTGGCCTCAGGAGGGAACAGAGCCGGCTTCATATGATCTTAGATCACTAAATTTGGACTCAAATACAAACCAGAAATGCCTGCAAGTCCAGGCTCATATTTTTTGTTTTGTTTTGTTTTGAGACGGAGTTTCGCTCCGTCTCAACCTCCGCCTCCTGGGTTCAGGCAATTCTCTTGCCTCAGCCTCCTGACTAGCTGGGATTACAGGCACGCGCCACTCTGCCCAGCTGATTTTTTGTATCTTTAGTAGAGACGGGGTTTCACCATTTTGACTAGGATGGTCTCGATCTCTTGACCTCGTGATCCACCCGCCTCGGCCTCCCAAAGTGCTGGGATTACAGGCTTGAGCCACCGCGCCCGGCCGCCGGGCTCATATTTTTAGAACCGTCCTTTGTATCCACTGTGAGCAGCACACACGGGAAGACAGCACCTAATGGTGCCACTGAGTAACCGCATCCCCATTGCTAGTTTTGATTCCAGAAGACACAAGTGACCCCACCTCAGACCAAGCAGAAGCAAGGACAACTTTGCAGGGAGCATCTCGGGGAACTTTTAGGAGCAACTGTCTCTCTCCCACCACAACATAAGCTAGGAAGCAAACGGCTCCCACTGCTCCCAGCAGAGCTGTACAACAAAAAGCAGAAGCAGTCTCAGGATGAGTCCAACAAGGTGGACAGTGGAGCAGAACTCAGCAAGGATGTCAGTCCTGGAGGAGGCACCTGGCAGAGTGCAGAAGCCTTCCAGCAGCCCGGTGAGGCAAACACTCCCAGAGCCGAGCTCAGTACGCCGAAGAGAAGGTGGACGTGGGCCCGCAGAGGCCGAGCATGAGCCCAGACCCTCCGAGGTCTGCCCAAAAGGTCTTAATTTTATCCCCAAAACTGACTTTTAAGGATTCAGTGTTTAGGAGGAACATAGCCAGATACCCATTTACAAAAACTGCTCCAGGGCCCACGTCGGGGCAAGGCTGGAAACCAGGGGAAAGGTTACAGTAAACCAGGCAAGAAATTATAAAGTCTTAAATTAAGGCAGCAGCAGAAAGACGGAGAGAGGCAACTCCTAAGAGAAAAATCGACGTCGAATTGGCCAGGTGTCCTGAGATGTGGAAGGTAAGGACGAGAAAGGCCTCAAGACCGCAGCGCAGGCCCCCGCGGTGCGCTGGGATCGTGGAGAGGAGATTAAGGCTCAAGTCCTGGTGGGTGCGGGCACCAGGAGCGCGGATAGCGCCCCCCACCCCGCGGCGCCGCCTTAGCCCGCAGGGACCCGCACGCCCAGAGCGGGAACGCAGCAGGATCCGGGCTGGTTCTCCTGGAGCCCGCGCCGCACGGTAGGCGGCGGCAAAGAGAGCGCATAGTCCCAGAGGATGCGACCGAGGCGCGGGACGGCGGCTCCCGCGGGGCAGGCTACACAGGAGCCCCGAAGACGCAGGGGGCGCGGGGCCCGAGGCCAACGGCCGCAACCCCGCCGCGACCTGAGCACGGAAAGGACGCAGGTTCGGCGGTGAGCGAGGGGCGCAGGGGCCGGAGACCCGGAGTCTGGCTCGCCTGAGAGCAGCGCAGGCCCCATAGCGGCCCTCGGGAGACTGCGGAGCGCAGCTGGCTCTCCCCGGCGCAGGATCTCACCTGGGTCAGGCGAGGGTCACCCCGAGCAGGCTTCACACCGCGGAAGGGAGCCCATCCGCGCTTCTATCCCACCGGCCAATCGCACAGCGACTCGCGCCGATTGACAAGCTTCAAGGACCAACCACTTGTGCTTGTGGGCGGGACTAAGAGAACTGCAGCCCAGAAGCCCGCGCTAACGGTTGCTAGGGACGCAGCAGACACCTCCTACGGCGCTTCGGAGGACCCAAAAGGAATGGGCGCCCCCGCCCCCGCCCCCCCCCCGCCGGGCAGATACGGTTTCCTCCGGTCTCGGGATCAAAAAGGGTGAGTAGCGCAGAGCTGGCCCCTTGGCGGCCTCTTTCTGAAGTCAGCGGACGCGGGGCGGCTTGCTTACGGGCCCGGAGGCTCCGCGGGATAGACGAAGACTGCAGCTTCTCGTCCGCGCTGGGATGGGAACGGCTTACAAGGGGAGCCCAGCTGGAGCCCCAGAACCGGCCAGCCGGCTGGCGGCCCCACCAGCGCAAGTGCCCCGCACCTACCCGGCTGCTCTGAGCGTCAGAAAAAGGCGGCCTTTCGCACGGGTAAAATCCGCGCGGGGACGCCGGGAGAATGTTGTTGCTTTTGCCGTTCGGCCCATTGTACAGACGCAGCCAGCGAGGCTCGCAGAGGCCAGGGGGACCGGCCCGCAAATTGCAGCCACGGAGAGATCCGCCTGGCCCGCGGCCCCTCCACGTCTCCGAGGTCGGGACAGGGACATAAGTCAATCCTCGAGCCCAGGGCGTCTCTGCACTCTCCCTCGACGTCCTCTCCATCCGCTGGCAGCCTCGGCTCTGTGTGTCCCGCTTCGACTCCCCCTGCTCTCCTTCCCAGTTTCTCGCCTCCAGACTGCTCCGGCTCCGCTGCCTTAAATTACCTGCCCCGGGGGAGGCACGGCGCGCGGCCTCATGAAAGAACTACAACTCCCATGAGGAGCTGGGCCCGCGCAGGCGCGCCGCTGCTGGAGCCGCCGCGCCGGAATCCCATTGGTTGGACCGACTCTGAGGCGGGAGCCCTGATTGGTTGAGGGACCTGAGGCGACAGATTCCGGAAAGGGGAAGAGCAGCCAACATGGCGGCGGAACGCGGCGCGGGGCAGCAACAGTCGCAGGAGATGATGGAGGGTGAGCGGCCCCTGCGGGCGGCGGCCCAAAGGCCCGGCGGGCGGGGGGAGCTGCGGGCCGGAACTGCTCCGTGCCTGAAAGAAACTCCACGCCCCACCTCCGGTCTCCGCCTCGCGGCCCCCTGACAGCTGACAGCCGGACCCGGGGGGAGCGGGGGAGGCTCGACTTCAGGGAGCCCTGGCTCGAGGGCGGCAGCGGCTGGGGGGAGAGCGGCGGCGCGAGGCCAGGCCGGGGGTGGGGCTGAATGGGACGCGGCGGCTCCATTCAGTCCAGTTGGAGCCTCGCCCCGAGCCTCTGAGATTGACCGGCGGGGGAGCGTCCTCGGTCAGCTGACGAGGAAACTGAGGCTCCGGGCGCTGGGACCCACCGTAGTTTGCTCCTTGGTTCACGTGGCGAGGGTGGAGAAGGGTCTCCTCTTGAAATCGAATGGACTGTTGCGAAGGGGTAACGAGGAACCAGAAGATTGAGTTTCGGAAGGTGATGCTTGTTTTCAAAGCTGTCATAGTTCCCAAAAGACTAAATTCCACTTTCTTCCTCCTCATTCACTTTGTTGGAAAAAATTATATACACGTGTGTGTGTGTATACATGCCTGTAGGGGCAGTCATATACATGTATGTACGGTGCGTGTGCACATGCATGCACACACCCAGTACAGTCGTATACATGTATGTACGGTGCGTGTGCACATGCATGTTATATACACGTGTGTGTATACATGCTTGTAGGGACAGTCATACATGTATGTACGGTGCTTGTGCACGTGCATGCACACACCCAGTACAGTCGTATACATGTATGTACGGTACGTGTGCACATACATGCACACACCCAGCACAGTCATATACATGTATGTACGGCACGTGTGCACATGCATGCACACACCCAGTACAGTCGTATACGTGTATGTACGGTACGTGTGCACATGCATGCACACGCCCAGTCACCGCCAACTGGGAAGCAGTCGTCAAGTGCTTGAATGCTCTTGGGTCCCACGGTTTGGTGAGGGTTACAGAGCTCGCGGAAGAGCAGCCACCGCCTCCTGTGAAAGTGGTAGGGAAGAGGAATGTGGAGCTGGGGGAGGAGGGTGGGTGCAGAAGGAAGGGCTGACGTGTTTGGGAGTGGCAAGGCCAGCCCTGAGCTGGGGCCTGAAGAATAACTGGAAGGCGACGAGGTTGGGAATAGGGTGAGGGAAAAGAGCAAGAATCACTCCAGGCGAAGAAAACTGCAGTCAAAGGGTGTGGAAGAGAGTTTGACCAAGTCATATGTGATAGGGATGGGGGCGGTGGTGGTAAGGGTCTTGGACTTTTATACCCTTAAGGCTTTTTAAGTAAGAAGTGCCTCTTTGTGTCCTCCCACTCCCTCTTCAAGTGTTTCCATGTCTTAGTAAATGACAAATATAAAGGCCAGGCTTTTCTCTCTGCCCCACTCCCACCCGTGTCCTATTAGTCAAGGAGCTCTGACACCTCTACTTTTAAAACTATCTCCAAGTCTTCGATGCCGCCTCCATTCCCATTGCCTGTACCTTAACTCAGACCTTTGTCATCTCTAGGCTAGACGGATTGCCCCTACTCACCAGCCCCTCATCCCCAGTACACCAGAGTAATCTTCTTACATTCTGAGTCACTGGCCCATGTTCCAGACCCTTCATTTTGGCTAACCTTCATTAGTTAAGCCTCTCCTAACCTCTCACCCCTCCTCCCCTTCCTGGGGTCTCTGCACCAGCCTGTCACTTAGTAGAACTTTCTCTCCCTAAGCCTGGACCACTGAGTTCCCTGTGCCTAGTTAAACATCTGCTGCATGTCATGCACATGCTGACCACTCTTGTGCCTTTTCTGATTTAACCCTGACAGCAACTCGCTGAGGTGTGGGTTCTACACTAACTCCCTCCCACAGACTAGGAGATTGAGGCTCTGATGGAAATGATTTGCCAAAGCTGCATCTCCAGCAGCAAGATGCAAACTCAGAAAGAGCATTCTAGAAATACTTTGGGACTCAAAGATCAGATTTGGATTCTAGAATTAGATCAGCCTCCCTGGCAATGGAGAATGGGTTAACAGAGAGATGAGTTAGGAGGCAGGCCAGGAGCCCAGGCCGCAGCTAATAGGTAACTGAGCCACTGTCATTGCCAGGGTAGGGAAGAAGAGATGGATCTGGAGGTTTTGGAGGTCGGTTTTATAAGGATTTGTTTTATTCAGCAATTCTTTCTTGGGTTTTACTTTGCTACTAGGCTAAGCAGGAAATACAAAGATGAAATTGAACTCTCTCCCTCAAAGAGCACATCTCTTTGTAGATAAACCATAGTCAGGAGAGAGTATTTTCAGTGTGGTTGATAATTCCAAGTAATGCGTTAGTGCCTCGTGTTTTCCAGACAGACTTCCAGAAGAGGTCGTGAATAACGTTACAAAAAGGAAAAATGGACCGGGCGCAGTGGCTGGCGCCTATAATCCCAGTACTTTGAGAGGCTGAGGTGGGTGGATCACTAGGTCAAGAGATTGAGACCATCCTGGTCAACATGGTGAAACCCCGTCTCTACTAAAAATACAAAAATCAGGGGGGCATGGTGGTGCGCACCTGTAGTCCCAGCTACTCCGGAGGCTCAGGCAGAAGAATCACTTGAACCCAGGAAGTGGAGCTTGCAGTGGAGATCGTGCCATTGCACCCCAGCCTGGGCAACAGTGCCAGACTCCATCTCAAAAAAAAACAAAAGAAAAATGATTTGACAACCTTACCAAAGAATTTTTACCTGTCATATTGAATTGCCTTATTCTTTTTTTTTTTGTTTTTTTTTTTTGAGACAGAGTTTTGCTCTGTCACCGGGCTGGAGTGCAATGGTGCAATCTCTGCTCACTGCAACCTCTGCCTCCTGGGTTCAAGCGATTCTTCCACTTCAGCCTCCCGAATATCTGGGACTACAGGCGCATGCCACCACACCCAGCTAAGTTTTGTATTTTTAGTCGAGACGGGGTTTCATCATGGCCAGGATGGTCTCGATCTCTTGACCTTGTGATCCGCCCACCTCGGCCTCCCAGAGTGCTGGGATTACAGGCATGAGCCGCCACGCCCGGCCTGCCTTATTCTTTAATTCAAAAAATATTTATCAACCTTTGAAAGCCTTGAGTTGGTAACACACTGTCCAGTGAATTTCACACCAGTGAGGTTTCTGTGGGCAGTCAGCACTGTTGGCTATATTCTCCTCCTCCTTAGTGATTTTTCCTGCCCACAGTCTGATTTGAGTTAGTCTTGATTTCTTTCAGAACATGGGCCTGTGCACTTGGCTGGTTTTCCTAGCCAAATGAATAGTGGAGCATGGATGGAGGTATGTGACAGAAGGGTCACAGTGGTGGTCACCCAGCCCGAAAGTGAGAGGCCCTCCTTCCATTAGTGCATTTAATCATAGGTGATCCAAGGCTTTCAGAACACTGGGGAATTCTTCACAAGCTCCTTGAGGGCAGAAGTAGTGTGTTCCTCACCTAAGTATCCATATGGGCTCCACACTCTGCTCCCCAGCACCCCCCCCACCCCCGTTCTCCCCACTGCTATATGCCTCAGGTGGTGCTGGGACCTGGGAGACACGCAAATGTTCATTGAGCTGGATTCAACAAACATGATTAAATGAAGTCCTTTTGACTTACAACTCGGTGTTAGTCTGTTATATGTTCCTCAAAGTCCCATAAAGTGGATGTGAATTCTTATTGACATTCATGGGTTCAGTTGACAGGCGGGTCGAGTCCGAAGAATCTGGCGATGAAGAAGGGAAGAAGCACAGCAGCAGCATCGTGGCGGACCTCAGTGAACAGAGCCTGAAGGATGGGGAGGAGCGGGGGGAGGAGAACCCAGAAGGTAGGAGGCCCAGCTCCCTCAGGGACTTCTGCTGGTCGGGAGGTGTGGCTGTGCTGCACGTGGTCTGTTCCTGGGTAGGGGGTGTGTCGGTCTGGGGAAGGAAGGACTGTTCTGTTCCTTAGGGGCCCTCAGGGCAGGTGGATCCGCAGGCTGACTCATTGATGGCATTTGCAAAAAGCATGTGTTTTTTTCCAGTTCCACTGAAGGCAAATCCTAGCACGAATATTGACAGTGGTGTGCTATTGGAGACAGAACCACGACATTGTTTTTTTAGCCATGTGTTTAGGAAATGAGATTTGAAATAAACATAGCTGACTGCTATGCTTCTATGTCCTACCATAGTAATAGAAACCTTTAATCTCTGAGAGGTTATTTCTGAGTACTGCCTTACCATTTTTATAGGCCTGAGGATTGACTTTTAAAGTGCCTAAATTGTGGCTGGGCATAGTGGCTCACGCCTATAATCCTAGCACTTTGGGAGGCCAAGGCAGGTGGGTCATTTGAGGTCAGGAATTCGAAACTAGCCTGGCCAACATGGTAAAACCCTGTATCTACTAAAAATACCAAAAAAGAAAAAAAATTAGCCAGGCATGATGGTGTGCACCTGTAGTCCCAACTACTTAGGAGGCTGAGGCAGGAGAATCGCTTGAACTCAGGAGATGGAGGCTGCAATGACCCCAGATTGTACCACTGCACTCCAGCCTGGGCAACAGAGTGAGACTCTCTCTCAAAAAAATAAAAATTCAAAAAAACATTTTTTTTAATTAAAATGCGTAGATGTTAAGAAAATCATTTTATGTGGAAAATAGCCCAGTTGCCTCTTATTGTTTTAATGAATAACAACAACAAAATAAATTTAGAGATAATAAAAGTAAGTTCTCACCCATAATGATGGTTTTTCACCCTCCCCAGCAATGGCCCAAACCTTTTCATTTGCTTAGAAAATCAATTTATGTTGAAAAGAATGAGAGAAGTCATATGAACACAAAAAGATACCCAAGATAATTAGGTTTAAAAAGCAAGTTTTGGCTGGCTGCGGTGGCTCACGCCTATAATCCCAGCAATTTGGGAGGCCAAGGAGGGCAGATCACCTAAGGTTGGGAGTTCAAGATCAGCCTGACCAAAATGGAGAAACCCCATCTCCACAAAAAATACAAAATTAGCTGGGCATGGTAGCACATGCCTGTAATCCCATCTATTTGGGAGGCTGAGGCAGGAGAATTGCTTGAACTCAGGAGGCGGAGGTTGTGGTGAGCCAAGATCGTGCCATGGCACTCCAGCCTGGGCATCAAAAGGGAAACTCCATCTCAAAAAAAAAGCAAGTTTCTAAGCTGGCACAGTAGCTTACACCTGTAATACCAGCACTTTGGGAGGCTGAGGCAGGTGGATCATGAGGTCAGGAGTTGGAGACAAGCCTGATCTATACAGTGAAACCCCATCTCTACTAAAAATACAAAAATTAGGGCCGGGTGCGGTAGCTCAAGTCTGTAATCTCAGCACTTTGGGAGGCTGAGGTGGGTGAATCACGAGGTCAAGAGATCGAGACCATCCTGGTCAACATGGTGAAACCCCATCTCTACTAAAAATACAAAAAAATAAAAAAATTAGCTGGGCATGGTGGCGCACGCCTGTAATCCCAGCTACTCAGGAGGCTGAGGCAGGAGAATTGCCTGAACCCAAGAGGCAGAGGATGCGGCGAGCCAAGATTGCGCCATTGCAGTCCAGTCTGGGTAACGAGCGAAACTCTGTCTCAAAAATAAATAAATAAATAAATAAAATACAAAAATTAGCCAGGCGTGGTGGCATGCACCTGTAATCCCAGCTACTGAGGAGGCTGAGGCAGGAGAATCGCTTGAACCTGGAAGGCGGAGGTTGCAACGAGCCAATATTGTGCCACTGCACTCTAGCCTGGGCGGCAGAGCAAGACTCCATCTCAAAAAAAAAAAAAAATACAGTAAGTTTCTACTTTAATTTTCTTTTTTCTAAAATTATATTTATTATTGTTCTGTCCCTTTAGAGATTTTTTTTTAAAAAGGCAAGTTTCTAAGCAGTATTCATATATGTACTTTTACCTGCTAAAGAAAACACATTAAATGGAGTCTTTTCAAACAGCAGGTTTAAGAAGGATCTATACATTCTGCATTTTCCAGATTTGTATACAAGAAACAAACCTAATTTTTAAAATAACATTGTGCTCTCTGTGCCAGCAAAGATGATTGGTAACTATGGCAACCTACTTTTAAGGCAAAAGGAGACGACCACAAAAGTACCAGTCACACTTACTTTTTTGGCACTTGGGAGCTGATATTCTGGAAGTGGTGTGGGTGGAATGCAGTGCATGGGAGTGATGGAAGCTTCCGTTATCGCCTGACTTAGTCACAGACAGTGGGGTGGTAGGAGCCCCCGCTATCCTCAGATAGGTGCTGCTGAGACATCGGGTGTTCATGGAGGACTTGAGAGTTGGCAGAGCAAGTGCTGTGTGCTTTCTCTCCCTGGCTCACTAGCACAGGCTAATGATGTTGTCGTCATGTTCTCTAAGTGCACTGGTGCGGTAATGTGTTATAGATGAGGAAAATGAGACTGCAGCTTGTCCAGGGGCATGCAGCTACAAGGCAGACCAGCTGGCCTTGCCTGGAAAAATCCAAGTTTTTTTCTTCCAGATGACTAGCTGATTATAAATACTCTGGGAATACGCATTTCTAGTCCTTAGAGAAGCCAAGACTTTCTTACCTATGTTTAAGTAAGTCTTTTTTTTTTTTGAGACAGAGTCTTGCTCTGTCACTCAGGCTAGAGTGCAGTGGTGCAATCCTAGCTCATTGCAACAGCTCCCAGGTTCAAGCAATTGTCCTGCCTCAGCCTCCCACGTAGCTGGGATTACAGGCACCCGCCACCATGCCTGGCTAAGTTTTGCATTTTTAGTAGAGATGGGGTTTCACCATGTTATCCAGGCTGGTCTCGAACTCCTGACCTCAGGCAATCCGCACACCTCAGCCTCCCAGCACCCAAAGTGCTGGGATTACAAGCGTGAGCCACCACGTGGGGCTATGCAAGTCTTAAATTCAATTAAAACAAATGTAATCATGTCAACTGTTACCTTCTACCTATTTTCTCTAAATCATTTTTAAAATATGATGAATATGTAATATACTCAGAAGGGTGTTCTAGGCTGGAAACCTTGTTTCAGAGGTTAGCTGACATTCTTAGTGGTGGGTGGGCAGCCAATGCTGGATATATTACAAAGAAGACCCCTTAAAGCCATGTGGCCATGTGTCCTGAGGACACACACAACCCATTTATCCCTGCTGGCCCAGCATAACTGGCCTTCTGCTCTCAAAGGGTCCTGGTTCAGATGACGTGACCTGGGCACCCTGCCTTAATTGTAGCACCTCTTCCAGGGCAACTTCCAGAGCTCATAAACCGTGACTTGACACTGTCTTTTGAGGGGATTTGTATCCTCTCTCTTGGTTTCTCCAGTTCCTTTTCATTATTAGGTTAGTTGATATCCTGTAAAGTCATGGATAAACTATAGTAAACATGCTTTTTAACTAGCCACAGTTGATCATTACAGAAAAGGCATAGGGGAAAAACTGCAGTGAATTCAGCTGTGTGGGACCTTTACTTTGTTAAGCTGGTCTGATGTCAACTGCTCCTCTCAGAAGCCTGCAGGAGAGGTGCGGAGCCAGCCTTGGCGTGCGGTCCAGAGCTGTGTGAGGTCACTCCCCTGCAGAGGCAAGTGCGTGTTTGCTCTAGGAAAGAGGTGCAGTAAGAGCCCCGACAGCCCTGTGAAGTAGTGACAATGACAGGAGGTACAGGAGAAAGCATCCTACAGGAGTCATTCACAGGATCCAGACTGGGAGAAGCACTGCAAGACAAACAGCTTGTTTTCCTGCAACAGAACACTGCAAGGGGAAAAAGAAATTTAAGAAAAATGCTGGCCTAAGTGCAGTGGCTCATGCCTATTATCCTAGCACTGTGGGAGGCCAAGGTGGGAGGATCACTTGAGGCTAGGGGTTCCAGACCAGCATGGGCAACATAGCGAGACCCTGGCTGTACAAACGTGGTTGTAACAACTTAGCTGGGCATGGTGGCACACACCTGTAGTCTCAGCTTCCTGGGAGCCTGAGACAGGGATCACTTGAGCCCACAAGTTCAAGGCTGCAGTGAGCTATGATTATACCACTATACTCCAGCCTGAGCTGCAGAGTGAGGCCCTGTCTCTTAAAAAAAATTCAAATTTAAAAATTTTTTTAAAAAGAGGAATGCTATCTAGTCACAACATACAGCCTTATTTGAGTCATAATGCAAGTAAACTAGGGAAGAAATGTGAAGACAGTTGATGAAATGCGAACACTGACAATAGTTGGCGATATTAAGGAATTACTGTGAATATGTTTAGTGTTTTAAGGGATGTGGGTGTGTGGGGGGGCCTTCATGAGTGTGTGTGTGTCGCTTTTGTGCATGGGTGTGCCTGTTTCTTTGTGTGTGTGCATCTGTGTGTCTTAGTCCTTTTCAGCACATATGCTGAAGTAGGTTCCAATGAAAGGAAGTGAGGAAGTGCTGCACAGGGACGCTGTCCCCCCAGCAGAGAGAGCAGCTCTCTCCCCTCCTCCACACAGAGGCGGCGGCTCCGCGGTGGAGAGTCCTCATGAAATCCAGTGGGCTTCTCTGCTGGAGTGAGTTCACCAGTCTCCCCGTTGAGAAGTCTGTTTAAATTATTCAGTGAGCCTCTTTGATCCTATCTGTTGAACTGTGTTTTGTTTTGTTTTGCTCTTTACAAAGAGAAGTGTTTGTAGATGCTGGGCCACCTTCCAAAGCAATAAAAGGCCCATCCTTGAGCATCTGATGTGCCCAATGTGGTCTGGATATTGTGATGACCTAGTTTGTTGCCACACACAGAAAGGGAGAAGCTGTGTAGGTTCCCTGTGTAGGAGGTGGGCTGCTCCAGTCCCACTGCTCCTGAGTCATGGGAAGGCAGTAGCGCTGCCCTGCTCACCTGCACTCAGCCACTTCCTCCCCTCCTTCCCACCAGCAGCTTCGAAACACATTTCCGTTCTCAGGAAGTTCAAAGGCACAGATGGATGTTTGGAGACCCTTTGCCAATATCTGAATTCAGGAAATTCAGGATGCTTAAAATGCCACTATTGTTGGAGCAGGGCCCAACCCTTCTACGTTCTCCAGGTCCTCAGCGAGCCTTCCCATCAGCTTCTTCTCGGCGTCTGAGCTGGCTCTGGGCACAAACAGCACCAGATCTCAGCCAGAGGCAGCTCTTCACTGATGACTCCTGTTAACAGGGTTCTAAAGAAGCCTCTTTTTCTTATTTTTTCAGAAGAACACGAGCTGCCTGTGGACATGGAAACCATCAACCTGGACAGAGATGCAGAGGTAATGCTGCCTGTTCAGCCCAGCCTTAGGGGGCGCAGTGACAGACCAGCCTGTCAGGTTGTCTTGTATGAGATTAGAAAGCTAGTTCCCTAGTTCATGTCGTTTTTCATGCCGGTGACTGTTATCCCACGTCCAACCCTTGAGGAGTGTGTGGCAGATGAGATGCCTTTGACTCGTACATTGTCTGGGTCTGGTGATTACATCATACATGGCGGTCCCAATGGCCCCAGGCTGTATATGACTGGTCTCTGGGCCTCCTGAGCCCATAGTGTGTCTCTGATAGGGACGGGATGGGGTGCATCTCCTCAGAGCCTGGGCATATGTTTTGTGCATACAGGATCTAGGGAATGAGAAAAAGATGCCAAGTGTCAATCATTTTGAGAGTCGGTTTTGCATAAAACTAACCGTAAGTCGCCACTAAACCAGAGAGCCCCTACAGCACACCTTGTCACTGACATGTGTCTGCTGCAGACCCGCCTGGCACTGCCTCCCCCACCGCTGCCCACTGCCAGGCCTCCTTTGATTGCTCCTCTTCTAGGACGTACGTCTCCAGCCACTTTGCTATAGCTGAGTATAGATTTCTGCTCTGTTTCAGGATGTTGATTTGAATCACTATCGCATTGGGAAGATTGAAGGATTTGAGGTGCTGAAGAAAGTGAAGGTGAGAGGAACTGTCACCAGGGAACTGTGACACTCAGGACTGTCACAAGGGAACTGTGACACTCAGGAACTGTCACAAGGGAACTGTGACACTCAGGACTGTCACCAGGGAACTGTGACACTCAGGACTGTCACAAGGGAACTGTGATACTCGGGAACTGTCACCAGGGAACTGTGACACTCAGGAACTGTCACCAGGGAACTGTGACACTCAGGACTGTCACCAGGGAACTGTGACACGGGAGCTGTCACAAGGGAACTGTGACACTCGGGAGCTGTCACAAGGGAACTGTGACACTCGGGAGCTGTCACAAGGGAACTGTGACACTCGGGAGCTGTCACAAGGGAACTGTGACACTCACCTATGGGATGTGGATGAGTCCCGAACTGAGCAATTAGTCCTAAGTTGTGGTCCTTGTCCCAGCCTGTGGGAGGTGGGGCTGGCTCCACCTTGTGGAAGTCTTTCTCTACTGGAAGCATAGTGGGTGTGAGACAGCAGTCAAGGGACTTGAGGCCTGGCCCTGGGGTAATCACTGCTGAGCTCTGGCGGCCAGGGAATCCTGACTCTGGCCTGCCTCATTTCTGCGCCTGTGTTCAGTTAAGCCCTCACCGAATCTTACGGCCCTCAGTGCATCTCATTTGAATTTGTTTCTCAAAATCAAGCCCACTAAGGACTTTAAGGCTCTGCCAAGAGTGGTACATATCCACGCCCCAGGCCAATGCCTCCCTCCCTAACTAGGCCTCTTAGTGTGGGGCCTGCCTCTGCCTCCTGCCTCCCTTTGGGTTCCTGCTCATCCTTAGGGTGTGTGGAGGAATTCTAGCCTAGTGCCCTTGCCCACCTGCCTCCCAAAGGTCAGCGCCTTTCTCGGAAACAGCAGAAGAATAAAGACACATCCTTCCACCAGAAAGGCCTGTCCTGTGTCCTCCAGCACCAGCTGAGGCCTTCTCATGGCCTCCCCCTTGCCTGTGTCAATTGTCCTTTTCCCATCCCCCAGACTCTCTGCCTCCGCCAAAATTTAATTAAATGCATTGAGAATCTGGAGGAGCTACAGAGTCTTCGAGAGCTGGATCTTTACGACAACCAGATCAAGAAGATTGAGAATCTGGAGGCGCTAACAGAGCTGGAGTGAGTCATGAGACCCATAGGAGAAGGTGGTGGGGAGGCCACTGGATGGGGGGTGTCCAGTCTCTCCAGAGCCAACCCCCTGCTGGCTCTTGGCCCTTGAGAGGCTGCCTCTGCCACAGGGTCCTGCCCTGCATGCGAATCCCAGGCCTTTGCCTGCCATATTCAGGGATCCAGGAGGCCGAGTCAGCTTCATGCATGTCTTCACCTTCTTGGACAATCCTGACTTGCAAAGTACATCTCCGGTGGGAAGGCTGCAGTGGGACTTCTGGAAAGCCTCCATTCAGGGATGATACTGAGATTGGTAGAGGAGAACGTTAATCCAAAATTTCCTGTTACCTTTTGAATTTTTTTTTTTAATTAAGAAAAGTGACATTTCTAATATAAGGAGTCAGGTCCTCAGCCAGGTGCAGTGGTGCACACCTGTAATTGCAGCACTTTGGGAGGCCACATTGGGAGGATCACTTGAACCCAGAAGTTTGACATAGCCTGGGCAACATAACAAGACCCCGTCTACAAAAATTAAAATTAAAAAAGGAGCCAGATCCTAGTTATAACTTTACCTGGATTTCTGCGCCTTTGTTGCTCATTATTTTTGTTTGTTTTGTTTCTAATTCAGTACATATCAGGTCCCTTGTGTGTGCAGAGCCTGGTGCTGGAGGTCTCGTCACGGGCACAAATGTGAATGAAACACAGTTTCTGCTTCAGATACCATGCTGGGAGCCAGGGCATCAGGAGCCTGTAGGCTGCCACTGGCTTGCTCTGGGCTCCTGGGCAGCCTCCAAATCTCTCATGATAGCATCAGTGTGGGCCAGACACTAGCAGGGGCACAGTCAGACCCCCACCCCCGCAGTGACTGCAGTCACCTGATGGGGATGCCACTTCTAAGGTGGTGTGAGTTCTATGCAACCTATGCTCTTGTAATTTTTTTTTTTTTTTTTTTGAGACAAGGTTTTGCTCTTGTTGCCCAGGCTGGAGTATAATGGCACAATCTCGGCTCACCACAACCTCTGCCTACCTGGTTCAAGCAGTTCTCCTGCCTCAGCCTCCCAGGTAGCTTGGATTACAGGAATGTGCCACCACTCCTAGCTAATTTTGTATTTTTAGTAGAGATGGGGTTTCTCTGTGTTGGCCAGGCTGGTCTTGAACTCCAGACCTCAGGTAATCCACCTGCCTCAGCATCCCAAAGTGCTGCGATTACAGGTGTGAGCCACTGTGCCTGGCCACTTATGTAAATTTTTTTTAACTGTTTTGCTTGTTCTCAGGATTCTAGATATTTCTTTTAATCTGCTGAGAAACATCGAAGGGGTTGACAAGTTAACACAACTGAAAAAACTCTTCTTGGTCAACAATAAAATCAGCAAAATTGAGAACTTAAGCAACTTACATCAACTACAGATGCTAGAGCTGGGATCTAACCGCATCCGGGTAGGTGTGGGAGAGGCAGCTAACGGGCTATGTAGGGGCTCAGTGGGTGTATGTAGAGTGCATGCTGAGCTTCATTTGTCTTCCGCTGTGATTTTTTCATGAACAGGGAAATTATCATTTTTAAAGAAATGCTAACTGGAAGTCAGTATTAGTAAGCCCTAACTGAGTGGTCTAGCCTTTCTTCTGCACATAGATTTCAGTTGCTCTTCATCCAAATCATGATCCTAAATCACACCATTCCCAGTTACATTCTGCCGGCGATGAACCAACCTACTGAACGCCTTGCTCTTGACCCCACTCATGGTGACCTCTGCAGTGCTTCTTTGGGATGAAAGCTTCCCAAGCCCAGCAGAGTGGTCACTTGAAGTGAACTGACATACACACCAGGGGCTTTAGAAAGTGTCTTGATGGTGACACACTCCCGAAGGCAGTGCTGAAGTGGGCCTTTCTCCCTACGCAGCTTCATACTCCTGGGACACAGTCCCCAACAGGGTTAGGTCTGTTCTCCAGGATCCATTTGACCTTGAAAACCTGGGACACAATGGAAATAAGAGACTTTTGAAAGGTGATCTGCTGTTCCACAGAAGCAGGAGTGAGCCTTCATCAGCTGACTCATCGCCACCGTCATGTGCTGGAGGGGAACCTGGGAGGGTGTCCCAGAAGGACTGCCACTGGGGATGGATCTGCCAGGCAGAGAGGAGGGAGGGTTCCCATGGGCAGGGAGGAGGACTTCTGTCAGCTAGAAGAGCATTGGAGCCCCATGCCCAGCTCCTAATAGGGGTCATGGCACAGAGCCTGTGCTTCCCTTGGCCTTGCTTAGTGGCTCCGGCAGGTGTTTCTGAGCACGTCTGCCCCTGCCCCATGTTCCCAGATGCCCCTCTGTTTGGCTTCGGGAAGTATTACAGCATGCTATGTCTGTCCTGGGCCCTTGAGAGCTTGGACAGGATACAAACCAGGGGAGGGTGGTTTTGGCAAGAGTTTCTTGACAGTTACTGTTATAGATCTCATGGGCACAAACAGCAAAGCAGCACATTTAAGAGAGCCCAGATGTCCGCATTTTATCAAGTTTCTCACTGTGAAGCTTTCCAGGGGGACAGTGGCTCATCACAAGTTAATGCCAGCTCATCGTGTGAGGATGCTACCACCCCTGCCAAGTCCTATGGTGGTGTGTGGATTAGCACGTCTTCCCTCCTGGAGTCCCCACCTGAGTAGCATGTACCTCATCTGGTTATTTTGTGTCTGCTGAAATATTTAAAGAATGACTTATTCTGAGAGAGAGTAAACTGACAGAGGAAAGAAACTGAAGTCAAATCAATAAACAGTCATTAAACAGCCTGCTGTAGGCAAGTCACCGTGGGGAGGCCAGACAGGGCAGCGTCGTCACTGCCTCTGGAGGTTTATGGTTGATTAGAGGAGCACAGCATCACAGCAAGGAAGAGCGGTGCGGGAGGGTGTGGAAACTGGGCAAGAGGGGCAGAGTGCTGTGGGGTGTGGGCCCCCAGGAATCCTAAGTGAGGACCCCGAGATTTCAAAGACTTGGGGTCAGAATGCCCCATACTTCTGTAGAGACCGAGTCTCTTGATATGTTGATGTGTGAGCTCACAAGTTTAGAACTGGAAGAGACTTTGGAATCTGCTGGTCTGTGGATTCTAAGTCTGTTCCTCAGAACCCCAGAAAATCCAAGGTTGGGAGTGAGCTCAAGACAGTCTTGGACTTGCCACTGTTGTATTCTACCTTCAAGTAAGATTTCCAGTGGAAATCTTAGCAGAGACGTCACTAGCCCCACATCTCAGAGCTGAAGCCCAGATAGCTCTGCCCCAGTGCAGGCACCGGCCGGCTGCAGCACTCACCACTCTTCTGTCCTTTCCACAGGCAATTGAAAATATTGACACATTAACCAATCTGGAGAGTTTGTTTTTGGGGAAAAACAAAATTACTAAACTTCAGAACCTGGATGCGCTCACCAACCTGACGGTCCTCAGTATGCAGGTATGGAGCTCCTGCAGGCCCTGGCTGGGCAGCGCTGCCCAACACAGCCTTCGTTTCACCCTTCACAGCTGGCATTTTGTTTCACCATCAGTGTGCCATTGAAACCTCAGATGCCATAGACTTTATATACACACGTGCCAAGCAAAAGCTTAATTCTCTCTTTCATTTTTATTTTTTTTACTTTTTTAGAGAAAAGGTCTTTATCTGTCACTCAGGCTAGAGTACAGCAGAGGGCTGTCATAGCTCACTGCAGCCTCCAACTTCTGGGCTCAAGCCAACCTTCCACCTCAGCCTGCCAAATAGGTAGGACTACAGGCATGTACTACCACGTTTGGCTAATACTTTGTGCAGAAGAGATGAGGTCTCACTGTGTTGCCTAGGCTGGTCTCTTAACTCTTGATCTGAAGTGATCTTTCTGCCTTGGCCACCCAAAATGCTGGGTTCACAGACATGGGCCACTACTCCCGGTCTTGTTTTTTGTTTTAAGAGACATCTCACTCTGTCATCCAGGCAGGAGTGCAGTGACAGGTGCAATCATAGCTCACTACAGCATCACACTCCTGGACTCAAGCAATCCTCCCTCAGCCTCCCAGGTAGCTGGGACTACAGGCACACACTACCATGCCTGGCTAATTTTTGTATATTTTGTAGAGAAGCGGTTTCACTATGTTGCCCAGGCTGGTCTTGCACTCCTAGACTCAAGCAAACCTCCTGCCTTGGCCTCCCCAAAAATGTCATTCTTAAGTGCCGTGCCTCCCCCACCACCCAGTAACGGTCCTAGATGGTTTTTAGCCAAAGGGGACTTCTTCAGAAGGTGAAGCTTATTCTAAATTCTACAGCGTTTGGCTCAGTTTCTTCCATTGCACAGAGAGCATCAGCCCTGTGAGGCCTCTGCATTTGGGAGTTGGTAGGTACTTGAGTGTGCTGTGCTCGGGTTTACCTTTTGCATTGGAAGCATATTAGCAGAGTTGGACCCTTGAAGTGAGATGGAGCAGAGTGCCGTGAGACAAGGCCCAGTGTGGTAGCTGACCCCCCCCCCGCCAACTGACAGTGAGGGGCATGTGAAAATCACTCTTAACCCTTGGTGACGCAGAAGTTTGTCAGGCTTCTTTTAAAAAGTTCCTGGCCTGGTGCGTGACTAATTTCTGAAATCCCAGTACTTTGGGAGGTTGAGGTGGTCAGATTGCTTGAGCCCAGAAGTTCGAGACCAGCCTGGGCAACATAGTGAGAGCCCATCTCTAAAAAATTAAAAATATTTTAATAAAAAATTATTAGGTCAGGCATATTGGCTCATGTCTGTAATCTCAGCACTTTGGGAGGCCGAAGCAGTCTGATCACTTGAAGTCGGGAGTTCAAGACTAGCCTGGCCAACATAGTAAAACCCCATCTCTATTAAAAAATACCAAAAAGGCTGGGCGCGGTTGCTCACGCCTATAATCCCAGCACTTTGGGAGGCCAAGGCAGGTGGATCTTGAGGTCAAGAGATCGAGCCCATCCTGGTCAACATGTTGAAACCCTGTCTCTACTAAACATACAAAAAATTAGCCGAGCATGGTGGCGTGCACCTGTAGTCCCAGCTACTCAGGAGGCTGAGGCAGGAGAATTGCTTGAACCCAGGAGGCAGAGGTTGCAGTGAGCCGAGATCGCACCATTGCACTCCAGCCTGGGTAATGAGAGCAAAACTCTATCTCAATAAATAAATACCAAAGAAAAAATTACCCAGGTGTGGTGGGCACCTATAATCCCAGCTACTCAGGAGGCTGAGGCAGAATTGCCTGAACCCAGGAGGCAGAGGTTACAGTGAGCCGAGATTGTGCCACTGCACTCTAGCCTGAGTGACAGAGCAAGACTCCATCTCAAAAAAAAAAAAAAAAAAAAGTTGCCACGCACAGTGGCTTATGCCTGTAATCTTAGGACTTTGGGAGGACAGGTGATCACAAGGTCAGGAGATCAAGACCATCCTGCCTAACATGGTGAAACCCTGCCTCTGCTAAAAATACAAAAAAATTAGCTGGGCATGGTGGCTCATGCCTGTAGTCCCAGCTTGTGGGAAGGCTGAGACAGGAAAATCGCTTGAACCCAGGAGGCAGAGGTTGCAGTGAGCCGGGATTGTGCCATTTTACTCCACCCTGGGCAACAAGAGCAAAACTTCATCTCAAAAAAATATATATATGATTCCCTTGCATGAATTTTAGCTCAGTACAGCAGGCTCAAAATTTTGATCCTCTTTTTCTCTCTACCTGAGTCCATTCTAGCATGTTTTAAGTGAAATGCTCTATTCTTAGAATTCTTCAGGATTCCCTAAAAGCCGTTTCCTCTCTCGTCCTTTGTGTTGTTCTGATGGCTGCATGCTCTCCCTCTTGCAGAGCAACCGGCTGACCAAGATCGAGGGTCTGCAGAACCTGGTGAACCTGCGGGAGCTGTACCTCAGCCACAACGGCATCGAGGTCATCGAGGGCCTGGAGAACAATGTAAGACACCCGCTGTCGGTCTGGGGCTGTGTGGGCAGTGGGCAACAGGCAGGCAGGCAGCTGGCCAGCCATCACACACAGGTCTCTCGGGTCAGTGTCAGGAAGATGCCCTACCTCCAGAGGTTTATCAGAGAGACCTTCCCATCCTGAAAACTGAGGGCCCCTCCTCATACTGAGAAGTGCAGGAGCTGTGTGCCTGTCGGCCCTCTGCCCTGAGTGTGCCTTGAAGGGCTAACGCTTTCTGTGGAATTTCAGCACAGGCGTCTGTAGGCTCCCTCAGTGGGGCAGCATCTGCTGCACTGCAGGCATTTTGCAGGGTTTGAAAAAAATGAACCCAACCTGCTCATAAAGGGCCCTGTACTACAGAGGGTGACTGGTACCCCTCGGCCACTGACCTTCTGCCGATGGCCCACTGGCCTCAGCCCCTACGTCCCAGCCCACAGAGGGCACAGGACCAGCTCTCAGTCCCATCCCCCTCCTCTTCTTAGAGCATGAGCAGCTTCCTCCTCCCCCATTCCTCCCTGCGTGCTGTCCACCCCTGCCCTCACCTGTCCGTGCTCCTGCCACCCTCCCCAGCCCTTCTCCCTCAGGTGCAGGCCGGCCTCTCGTACTGAGAGGAGGTCTGCCCACAGAGGCCCCACCCTTCTCAGCTGCCTCCAGCTCACCCTGCTTTGTCCCAGTGCAGTGTTCAAGAGAAATAAAAGACTTTTTCTCATTCAATTTTACTTGTTTTTTTCTGTTTTGTTAAATTGCCAGCAAATATAACTAGATTGGTCTATAAACATAGCATTTCAATCTCATTAAAGGGCTTTGTACCTCAACCCCAGGGCCTAGTTGCCATCAGTAAATTTCACCAACTCCTGCATAAAATTTTGGAAAAATTCAGATTTGCCTGTGGAAAGTTTGGTCACCTTCCTCTGACTTTGCAGTGAAATTAAAAGCTTATAAAACCATCATACAAACCAAGTGTTCGCCTGTGTGGTTTAGAGTGGTAAGCTGAGACATACCTGCCGTGGAACAGCACTGGGGACTGTGTGGAAGGGCCTGGGATGAGGGCCAGGTAGGGTGCGCAGCAGGGAGCCCACGCTCAAGGGAGCCCTAGTGCCCTCTTGCACCCTGGCCACCCGAGCCGAGGCCCCACAGTCAACACCAAGTGTCCAGTGGGAGACAGACAATCTGCATCATTTTCAAATAAGCAGCCAGTCCCAAGAAAACTGGAAAGAAGTGTAATTCGGAATTTTACTAGTGCAAGTGCTACCCCGTGATCTTGGTTAAACACCAGATTATTCTTGGGCCTCTGAAACAAAACAGAAAAAATTGTTGCATTAAAGGTAATTACGTTATTGTAATCTTCATCATGATCAAATGTGACAGTTTTCCCTCTGCCATTTTTTTCACTAGAGATCAGACAAATACTTCCTCCTAAGTTTTGTCTCTTAATTTATCTGGAATTTATTTTTATGGTGGGAAATTAGATAGTAAATGTAGTTTTGTTGCAGATGGGGACTTAGACAGTGCCCCCTCCCCAGTGCCTCACGACTCCTGTCTTCTGCAGTGTCTCCTCCAGCTCTGGGCTCTCTCCTGTTAGTCTGGAATATGCTTGCAGTGGTCCCTGACAGGTGTAACTTCTGTGGCCTTGTCATGCCCTTGGATGTGCCTGCTCTCCTCACTCTGTCCCATCGTTTTTGTTTTTTTGTATTTTTTAAGCAGTTCTTACTAGTTTGCTTTTGGACGAGTTTTCACAACATTGTCCAGCTCCCCTAGAAAAACGTGAAATAGCCTTGAGCGCATAACTGGACCCTGAGCTTAGAGGTCAGGGACCAGGTCTGACAGCCAGAGCCCATCAGCAGCCCTGCCCTCCTACTGAGCCTTGGTATTTGCACTGCACGAGGCTCAAATCCTGCTGTGTGTTCCAGGCCACTTTGATTTTGCCAGTTTCTGGGCTTGCATTCCTGGTGACCATGGGCATGTCAGAACAGTGCAGGGTTCAGGGGAAGAGCTGCCGTCTGTGCTGGAGAGGTCTGTCCCAGCCCCGCCGCCAGGCAGTGTGCCACTGGACTGCCCACAGTCCTGTTTTCTGCACCATCCCCTGAAGCCCCTTTTACTCTGAACCTGCCCCCTGAGCTCCTCCCTCAGACGGTGTTGCTGTTGGTACTCTGTGAGCAGAACTGACCAGGGCGCCAAGATGGGGTGGTTTGAAGGCACCTCCCAGGCAGCATGTCGCACATAGCCTGCTGGAGAGTGGCGTCGGACTTGACACACGCATCTGGTGCCAGCTGGGGCACTGGGAGGCAAGGGTGGTGCAGCCAGAGGCCACAGCCAGAGCGCTTTTGAATTGGGAAAGCCACTGGCTGGGTACATTTTGGGGGAGGCTGGGGAAGGAGTGTTTGCTTTTGAAACGTTTTTAAGCTCCCTTAAAACTTGGAAGACTTTGGAATTAGGATACCAAAAAAATGCAGTAGAAAACCAAGGAAGGGACTTGGGAGGGAGCAGAGCATGAGGGCCGAGCAGGGAATTAACTTTGTCAGAGGTTCTCAGACAGCTTGTAAACGTTCTCCTTTTTATTAGAAAAGTATTGCCTAGGCTTAGCTAATGTATATTGGAAAGTGAATATCTGATGTGCGTTTTCCTAAAACACACTCTTGTCTCCCGGTGGGGGACACACACCCTGCAGCAGGTACTCAGCAGGCCCAGCACCCAGTCCTCAGGACCCAGTCCTCAGCACCCAGTCCCCAGCACCCAGTCCTCAGCACCCAGTCCCCAGCACCCAGTCCCCAGCACCCAGTCCCCAGCACCCAGTCCTCAGCACCCAGTCCCCAGCACCCAGTCCCCAGCACCCAGTCCTCAGCACCCAGTCCCCAGCACCCAGTCCTCAGCACAGCTCCGTTCTCTGCACTTGTGCTTCTGGCAGCCTCTTCCCAAACAAGAGTGTGGGCCTGGAGTCCGAGTCTTGCCTCTCCCACTGCTACTGTGTGCCTGGGCACATTCTTAGCCCCACTGAGCCCCGAGTTCCTCATCCCTAAATGAAAAGAGGAACTTTGTTTTGAAGACTACTTGGTCGTACATTTCCTCGTGATGAGCGCTGAGGAAATGCTACTACAATTGTCAGCCTTTCTTCAGAGCATCAGGGGGTTACTCAGTTCTTGCTGGGACGGTCAGTCTCTGGGAGCACTGGGCTTGGAGTCTAACACAGTCTCAAATCCCAACAATCAGAAGAGCTTAAGGAGGTAGCTTGGCAGGGTCTGATGGAAACACTGTCCCAGGGAAGGCTGCAGGAAGCAGGCAGGTCTCGTCACCCTCTGTAGTATGCCCTTATCCTGTGAGGGTAGAGAGGGCAGCGTGCTTGCAGCCCTAAGCTCAGCGCCAGACACTACCTGTGTGATCCATCTTGCAAGTCACTGTTGATCACAGGTAATCCAGGAAACATTTTATTTCCTTCTTTTAGAACAAACTCACCATGTTGGACATTGCATCAAATAGAATCAAAAAGATTGAAAACATCAGCCATCTAACAGAGCTGCAAGAATTCTGGGTAAGTTTAATACACACTGGGGTTGACGACACTTTGACTAAACTGGTCTCACTGATTAAAATGGCATATGAATGAATACAAGGATCTCCCGTAAGCCTTCGTGCTGAGTGACTGTCACGTCATGAGATTTGGGGTGGGTAATCTTACAGACTTGTATTTGGTGTTGTCTGTGCTCCTCAGAGCATGAACCACAGATCAGCAGCATTGGCATAGCTGGGGATCTTGTTAGAAATGTAAAATCCTGGGCCGAGCAGTGGCTCAAGCCTGTAATCCCAGCACTTTGGGAGGCTGAGGCGGGTGGATCACAAGGTCAAGAGATCGAGACCATCTTGGTCAACATGGTGAAACCCCATCTCTACTAAAAATACAAAAAATTAGCTGGGCACGGTGGCTCATGCCTGTAATCCCAGCTACTCAGGAGACTGAGGCAGGAGAATTGCCTGAACCCAGGAGGCAGAGGTTGCGGTGAGCCAAGATCGCACCATTGCACTCCAGGCTGGGTAATGAGCGAAACTCCGTCTCAAAAAAAAAATGCAAAATCCTCTGTCCCACCATAGCTCAGATGCAAACTGAGTCCTTTGCTTTACAAGACTCCAGGTGATTACAGTACTTGCAGAGGTTGGAGAAGCCCTAATCTAGGTATGGGCAGAACCTCAAATTGTCATTTGACTATATAGTTTCCAAACACCAGCAGAGAGGCACACACATTCTGTGCAGGTATGTTCCAGCTCAACAGAAGGAAAGGTCAGATGGGTTTCTGCAGTTAGTCTTCTTGGAATCTGCCTTGTATTTGCCTTGTGGTCACAGATATGTTTCAGGAGTAGTGTTGCGGAGTCAGTAGGAAGAAAAAGAGAATATAGCCAGGCGCGGTGGCTCACGCCTGTAATCCCAGCACTTTGGGAGGCCTAGGTGGGTGGATCACGAGGTCAAGAGATCGAGACCATCCTGGTCAAAAAGGTGAAACCCCGTCTCTACTGAAAATACGAAAAATTAGCTGGGCATGGTGGCGCGTGCCTGTAATCCCAGCTACTCAGGAGGCTGAGGCAGGAGAATTGCCTGAACCCAGGAGGCAGAGGTTGCAGTGAGCTGAGATCGTGCCATCGCACTCCGGCCCGTGTAACAAGAGCAAAACTCTGTCTCAAAAAAAAAAAGAAAAACAGAATGTAAGAAGTTTCTGCAATTCCTCCAAAGTGGTTGGGAAATGATCCCCAAGTTGAAGTCTTCAGTGTGAGGATTCCCTTAGGAAATTCTCCTAAGGCTTATTGCCTTTCCCCTAGCATGTGGCCCCTGCAGGGATCATGGAACAGATGTAACTCTGATGCTGTGAATGTAGTAGTGTCCTCAGATACGTTCAGTCTAGTCCAGGATTCATGCTGAGTGTAAGGCACCATTCTTCCTTGTCTCCCCTCTAGCTGTGCTGCTGACCCTGCTAATGTCCTGTGCGTTTTCCTTTCCCCATCTTAAAAGGCTTCCCTAGAACACAAGTGGCTTGCTGCAAATGTTCCTTGCCCCTTATTGGTGGCACTGAGTCTTGAGTAGCACCAGGATGTGATACTAGAGCATGTCTGGGAAGACCAGGGCCAGAATTTGGCAGGGGATAAAGATGTCCCAGGCCAGGGGGAGCCTCCCTGAGTCCAGGCGGGTCTATGTGCAGCCCACCCTTGAAGGAAGGTATGGCAGGTGGTAGGCTGCTTGGATCAGTGCATAGGGAGTTGGCAAAGAAGCCAGGGAATTACCCAAAGAAACCAAACAACAGGAATAAGGAGTCCAGACAGAGGACCTAGGTAATAGGGAAAGGGCACCTGGCAAAAAATGAGGGAGCAGGTTGGGAAATGAGCTGATACTGAAGCAATGTTCCCAAAGCTTATGATTCCTTCTGCATGCCCTGCCTAGGAGCAGAGCATGGGCCACAGAGTCTGAGACCACAGGCAGGGGCCAACCTGGGCACCACAGCTAGCAGGAAGTCAGGCAGGCTGGTGACCAATCACTAGGGGTCAGATAGTGCCTGACCCTGTAACACAGAAGAATCGTGTTGCCTAGACCACCAAAGATAGTAAAAAGAATAGTCAGAATTTGCACAGCACTTTAATGGGTCCAGACTGCTTTCCATTCTAATCTAATTATCACAGCAACCATGTAAATAAGATCATATTACCCCATTTTACAGGTAAAGAATTGCATTCCAGGAAGGGAAGTTACAAACCAGGAACTCTCAAACTCAGGTCCTGCTCATATCACATTTGAGATGCACATTGTTAGTCTCTAAAGAAGAAATAGAAAACCAGTCTTAACAAGTTTCTGACAACCCAAATACTATGTTTATTGATTTTTCTGTCTTTGTTCTTCTAGTTACTGAGAGGAGAATGTTGAAACCTTGCAACTGTTATTACCAATGGATCTGTTTCTCCTTTCAGTTCCATTAGTTTTTTGTTTTTTTGTTTGTGTTTTCAAAGTCTGTTATCAGGTTCAGGATTAAGGAATTCTTGGTGAATTGATCCATCCATCACATGAAGTGTTCTTTATTGCTGTCCTCTTTATCCTTGTCCTGGAAGAATATTTCGTCTGTTACTAACATAGTCAGTTCATCTGTCTTAGGGTTAGTGCTCTCATGAAATCTTTTTCCATCCATTTACTCTTAATCCTGTGCCTTTATAATAAAAATATGTTTTTTGTAAAAAGTATATAACTAGGTCATGCTTTCTTATCCAGTCTGGCAATCTCTGCCTTTTAAGTGGTATGTTTAGACTGCTTATATTTAATATAATTATATTTAAGTACTTTTTGTATAATGGTTGAGTTTAACTATCATCTTAGTACTTGTTTTTTATTTGTCTCATCTATTATTTGTTTACTCTTTCCTGCCTTCTCTTTGGAGTGAGTTTTGTATTTTTTTTTAATTTTTGGCAGTCTATTTTAACTATTATTGGCTTATTTGCTATACCTCTGCACTAGTGTTTTCTTATTTGTTTGGGGGGAGGGTTGCTTTTGTTTTAGCGATTAGAATTTTAAATGCATTTTTAATTTATCACCATCTATATATTTTACATTTAAATATCTTTTTTTTTTTGTTTTTTTGTTTTTTTTGAGACAGAGTTTCGCTCGTTACCCAGGCTGGAGTGCAATGGCGCGATCCCAGCTCACCACAACTTCCGCCTCCTGGGTTCAGGCAATTCTCCTGCCTCAGCCTCTTGAGTAGCTGGGATTACAGGCACACGCCACCATGCCCAGCTAATTTTTTGTATTTTTAGTAGAGACGGTGTTTCACCTTTTTGACCAGGATGGTCTCGATCTCTTGACCTCGGGATCCACCTGCCTCGGCCTCCCAAAGTGCTGGGATTACAGGCCTGCATCTAAATATCTTATAATCCCCATGATACCTTATCTTTTAGAGACATTTTAAAGTGGCTCATGCCTGTAATCCCAGCACTTTGGCAAGCTGAGGCAGGTGGATCACCTGAGATCAGGAGTTGGAGACCAGCCTGGCCATCATGGTGAAACCCCATCTTAAAAAAACAAAATGTGGAAAACTTCTGGAAATTATTTTCTCTAAAAGTTTTTCCGCCCTTGCTCCCCAACTCCAGTTTCTCTCTGCAACCCATTATACAGGTTCCTCTGGTGCTAGTGAGGCCCTGAGGCCATTTCCTCCACCCTGTTCCACGCCTCAGGCTTTAATCTTGTTGTGCCTGTTTGTACCATTTCCATTGCTGAACGTTCAAGACCATGATCTTTTCATCTGTAGTGTCCAATCGGCTGTTAAGCCCGTGTCATGAATTTTATTCCAGATACTGTATTGTTTCTCAGCTCTAAAAGAACATTTAGGTTTTTGTTGGGTGGTAGATTATCTTTCTCTCTTTTTTAGATGCATGTTTTCCTTTAAGTCCTTCCTTCTTCACATCTTGTAATGTTTTCTTAGATCCTGGGTTTTATGACATTAAATTGTTGAATGTCTGGAATTGATGTTTTCCTTCAAAGCATATTGGAGATTAACTGACAGTTGAGTTACAGCTTGATCTTTTTTTTTATTGGCTCTGTCTCTGCCCATGTTCTCCTGCCACAGGATCATGCTTGCCTACGTGCAGAATGCAGAAGCTTGGTCCTTTTGAGGCTTGTTTTGAAGCTTTGTTAGAGCACATCTAAATAGCCCACCCCGTAAGATTAATCTAGCGCTATTTTGAAGCTGTGGCCCTCCTGGGATCTCTGGTGAATATCCTGTGAATGTAAGTTCTCTCCACGGTGGTTGGTGGGAACACAAACTTGGACCTGCCATGGGTGAGCTCTGGGCTCCCTCATGGTTATACTTTCACCAGCCTTTAGCTTTTCACTCTGCCTAGCACGGCTGCATCTTCAGTCCAGGATTCAAGAGCATATCATGTGGGTTCCTGGAGGCTTTTTCCCTACAGAGCTCACTCCTGTCTATACATGCTAGCTCCCTCTGCCTCTCCAGACTGCAGTCACCATCTCAACTCAGCCTCTACCTGGGTTCCCCCTCCTGGTAGTGATCCAGAAAGTTCCCCCAGGCAGAAGGTCAGGGTGATTTTGCCACCCACGTCATTTGTTTCCTATCGCCCAGGAATCCCTGCTCTGTGTTGCTTGTTGCCCGATGTGTAAAAACAATTGTTTCAGATATTCTGTCCTGTTTTCTAGTAGCTTGTGACAAAGGCAGGAGCCCAGCACCAGCTGCTCCATCATGGCTTGAAATAGAAGTCCTGCTTGTTTATTTCCCTTTTGTGCCTCAGTCTCCCCCATTGCAGAGCAGAAGCCTCACAAGGGCAGGGGAATTTGTGTTTGGCTTACTTTGTTTTCCCTCCCGATTTCTTTATTGTGGTAAAACATACATCGTAGAAAACGTACTGTCTTAACCATGTTGAAGTGTAGAGTAAGTGGTATTCAGCGCATTCACAGTGGCGCACAGCTGCCACCACCATCCATCTCCAGGACTCTTCGTCTTACGAAACTGAAACTCTGCACCCAGTGAGCAACAACTCCCTATTTTGCCCTTCCCAGACCCTGACAACGACCACTCTGCTTTCTAGCTCTATGAGTCTGTGACTGGCTTACTTCGGTCACCACCACGTCCTGAAGACGATTCATTCTGTAGCACGTGTCAGTACTTCCTTCCTGTTTAACGCTGAATAATATGCCACTGGATGGGTATCGTTTTGCTCACTCTCATCTCACCAGCATCTGGAATAGTGCCTCATATACTTTCTTTTTTTTTTTTTTTTTTTTTTTTTTTTTTGAGACAGGGTCTTGTTCTGTCACCCAGGCTAGAGTGCAGTAGCTTGATCATGGCTCACTGCAGCCTTGACCTCCTGAGTTCAAATGATCCTCCCATCTCAGCTTCCCGAATAGCTGGGGCTGCAGGTGTGCACCGTTAAGTCTGGCTCCTGTTTTTTGTTTGTTTCTTTCTTTATTTTTCGTTTTTTGAGACGAAATTCTGTTCTGGTCACCCAGGCTGGAGTACAATGGCACAATCTCACTGCAACCTCCACTTCCCAGGTTCAAACGATTCTCCTGCCTCAGCCTTCCAAGTAGCTGGGATTACACGTGTGTGCCACCACGCCCAACTAATTTTTGTATTTTTAGTGAGACGGGGATTCACTATGTTGGCCAGGCTGGTCTCAAACTCCTTACTTCAGGTAATCCACCCACCTCAGCCTTCCAAAATGCTGTGATTACAGGAGTGAGCCACCATGTCTGGCCCATTTTTAAATTTTTTTTAAAGACAAGGTCTTTCTATGGTGGCCAGGCTGGTTTCAAACTCCTGAGCACAAGCGATCCTCCTTCCTGCGCCTCCCAAAGTCACCATGCCCAGTTAGTGCCTGAAACGTATTTGAATGAGCGTAGAAGGAACATAGAAAGGAAGGGTGGCCAGCTGGGCGGAGGCCGACTACAGATGACGTTGGAAAACATGTCAGGCACGTGTGTCAGATGCAGGGCTGACATCCTTCTATCAAAAACAGCTCACACAGAGGTACCACTTGAAAACTAGGGGTGTTCACAGAGCAAGAAGTAATAGTTGCTTGTAAATACATACAGCATTTTCTATCTCATTACTTTTTTTTTGAGATGGAGCTTCGCTCTTGTCGCCCAGGCTGGAGTGCAATGGCGCGATCTTGTCTCACTGCAACCTCTGCCTCCTGGATTCAAGCAGTTCTCCTGCCTCAGCCTCCCAAATAGTTGGGATTACAGGCACCTCCCACCACCACACCTGGCTAGTTTTTGTATTTTTAGTAGAGATGAAGTTTCACCATGTTGGCCAGGCTAATGTCAAACTCCTGGCCTCAAGTGATCCACCCACCTCAGCCTCCCAAAGTGCTGGGATTACAGGCGTGAGCCACCATGCTGGCATACCTCATTAATTTTAAAAATATACTAAAACAATGAGAGACAGTGTTACTGTCAGGTTGGCAGAGACTCTTGTAGAATGTAGGTGGAGCCAGTCTGTGATGGCAGCAGGCATTCCCATGACTACTGAGAGCTGTGTTTCCTACGCGTTTTCTGTAAGGCATCTAGAGCCTTTAAAATGACACATGCAGCCAGGCCCAGTGGCTCACGCCTATATTCTTAGCACTTTGGGAGGCCAAGACAGGTGGACCACAGTTTGAGACCAGCCTGACCAATACGGTGAAACCCATCTCTACTAAAAATATGCAAATTGGGCATAGTGGCATGCACCTGTAGTCCCAGCTACTCGGGAGGAGACAGGAGAATCGCTTCAACCCGGGAGGAGAGGTTGCAACGAGCCAAGACCGCACCATTGCACTGCAGCCTGGGGGACAGAGCAAGACTCTGTCTCAAACAAAAAAAAAAAAAAAAAAAAATAGGGTTTCTCAAACAGGTGAGCCTGTGAGATGCACATTATATTCCTCTCTGGGAGGCCCTAACACATGTGAAGTTACTAAAGACAGCCTGGCTATGACAGTGGACCTGGTGCCAGACCAGACCTCCTGCCACAGACAGAAACAGATGAAGCCACTCTCCTCAGGTGGTGGACAGTGGGCAGCACACAGCTGCAGGCTCTGAGGAGGAAATTCCAGGGCCAGCCCTGTGATCGCCCCACTCCTTACCTGGGACATTTCCCATGCGGAACACAGTACTTCTAAGTGGAAGAGGTAGAGATCAACATGTCTGACAGCTGCAGTGTTCAAGACAGGGCCCTGGAGAGAAGGGGAGCTGTGCAGAGCAGGGGACACCCCCGTCCGGTCCAGCTGTGGGCAAGGCGATATGGGCCCCAGACTGGAGCACCCCTGCTTGCACTCCATGCCACACGGACAGTCCCCGTCCTAACCTCTCTGCAAAATGGGTCAAAGTCCGTCGCCCTATAATGAGCCCCTGGCTCTGCCCCTTGTAGGTTCACGGTCAAGTCCAGCCGCCGCCTCAGGAGTAGTGGCCCTGCTCTTGCCACCATGGTGTGCGTGGCAGGCCCTAAGGTCGGGAAGCTCTGAACATGTGATTTCTACACTCAGGGTGATGGAAAGTGAGGGTCAGACCACCAAGGTGTGAAGCTGGACTGGCTCCCCTTGTTCAGGGCTCCATGAGTGCCCCTGAAGCTCCAATCATGAAACCTGCAAGCAGCCATGTGCTGCCTCCAGCTAGGCTGGGAGCTGGTGGTGACGTCTCATCCCAGCTCCACAGCCGGGGACATCACTCATGTTGGTGGCATGAAATCAGCCATGGCGGGGATATTTAGACCACAGAAGTTGGCAGACACTACTCATGAGGGCTTTGGTATTTTTCGGGGAGCTGGTGGTTAGATGTTGGCTGGCACACCGGCCTGGAGCCTGGTGGTTCTTCTCCCCACATCCCCTCCCACCCTCTCACCTCGGCCTTACCGGATGCATCCTGTTGGTTTTCCTGGTGCTTTCGGCGCTCACCAAGGTATTTTGTTGTCCCAAAATTCATCCGAGTACAGGAGCCACATGCATCCATTGGACAGGTGTGGACTGCATGCCCGTCACGCAAAGAGTGACATCAGAGTCACTTTGTAGTCTCATCCTGACAGCACTTTCGAAATGTGAGAGAACTCTTCCTGCCAAAGGCAGGTCCCCTCCAACGGGCATGGCAGGGCCAAGATGGTAAAATGTAGTCTGCTCTGAGCCTGCCACTCAGACCTCTGACTCCCACCTGCTCGTGATCTGTATTCCTGGACATGGTATTGGGCGAAGGCGGCAGCCAGGACTTCCTTGTGGAGAGAGCCAAGAGCCACAGAGGTAATTTACAGAAGAGTCGAGAGCTGTAGGAAGAGCAGTCTCTGTCTGCTGTGTCCCGGTGACACCGCAGAGTCCTGTGGATGAGTGTGGCAGGCAGGCGGCCAGTAGTGCTTGATCTTCCTCTGCTGACCTGAACATGGGTTTGGCCCCGTCATGGTGACTGGCCCAGGGTTGGGTATTGATAGGTAACTTGCACTCGGGATGCTGCTGGAGGTGGCCGGGATGCACCAAGGGGTGATGGAAGGTCCCATGAGGTGCTGGGGAAGAGCCACAGCTGCTCGCCCTCTTCTGAGTGGGAGGGAGGAGGGTGGCTAGTGGCCCCCCCGCCACCAGAGTCAGGGCTGTAGGCTGTGAGGGCGGAGCTGTTTGGTTCTAAAGGCTTTTCTCCCGTGTGTGTCCCCAGATGAACGACAATCTTCTTGAGAGCTGGAGCGACCTCGACGAACTGAAGGGAGCCAGGAGCCTGGAGACGGTGTACCTGGAGCGGAACCCCCTGCAGAAGGACCCCCAGTACCGGAGAAAGGTCATGCTCGCCCTCCCCTCTGTGCGGCAGATCGACGCCACGTTCGTCAGGTTCTGAGTCCTCCTTGCTCCTCACGGGGTCCCTGTCCTTGGAAGAACTGCCCAGCCACAGTTTTTTAACCCACCTGTTGCTCCTGAGGTCGTCACTATCAACAGTCACAAACCCAATGGCAATAAAGGCACTGGCAGTAGCTGATGCGCGATGCCACGCACATTTTCAGACGCCGTTGCAATTAAACCTTGCCACACAGTCCTCCTGGGTGAGTGTTGACAGTTATTGTAGCCACAGAGAGACTATTGGACACATCGTGTTCATTTGCTAGAAATTCCTTTGTTTCCTCCTCTCAGAAGGCGGTCACAGGCCACACCTGAGCCATGTGAAACACCGGGCCTGAGAGTGCTTGACAGCATTCACGTGCAGTCCGGGTGGCCCCAGTCCTGTTAGCAGGGTTCAGGCAGGCCTGGCTGCAACAGCTGAGGTTTTTCAGTCTTAAATCGGACAAGGCCAATTTTTAAAAATGACGTAAGTTAAAAAAGCATGGGTAAAGCTGCCTCGGGCCCGTGTGCCGTGTTCCTTAGAGCCGCTCTTTGACAGGCGCCGGGCGGGCCAGCTGCTTTCACATGTGCCCAGGTGGGTGTGGGGGAAAGCTCAGGTGTGGGGCGGGCGCCCTGTGTCCACGGTCTGTGCTGCTGCCAGAATGCCAGCCCAGTAAGTCTCCAGAGATGGCCTCCAAGGATCGGAACTCTTGGCCCCTTGTGCAGTGGCTTCCTGTCCTCACCCCATTGTTTTGGCTTTTTTAATATAAAATGTACATTGATAGACACCCGAGGTCTAGATTTAATGCTATCAGGGCTTCGTCACCTCCCAGGGTCTCAGATTTCTTCTGCAGAATGAGGCCATATCGTGTGGTCACCAAGGTCCCTCCTGCCTCTGGGACTCTGGAGCTGTGCTGTCCACTGTGGAAGCTAAGTGAAGACTCCATGCCTCTGCCACACTCACCACGCTCGAGCTCAGCAGCCGCATCTCACGGGGGGCAGCCTGCTCCCTCATCCCAGAAAGTTCTGCTGCACAGCCGTGCCCAATTCTGTGAGCTCTCCCTGGGACAAGTCCCCAGGCTGACTGTCCGTCCAGCTGCCAGGGAGGCTCCAGGCAGCACGGTGGCTAACCTGGGGCTTAAGCTTCTGTTCCATTCCTGATCCAGTCTTCCTTAAAAATACACTGTAAGACCTGACTCTAGGAAGCAACTACGTGCTGAGAAGCAGAGACTCTGCAGGAGTGATGAGGCTAGGGTGTGGCCCCAGATCCTGACCCTACAATTCTGCCCCCAGCCAAACACCATTCAGGTCTGAGGACAAAAGAAAGATTTTAGGCACATGAGTATTTAGGATTTGAGTGCCCTTCCTGAAAAGGCACTCAGGAGCCAGCGGCAAGCACTCAGACCAACAAAACTTCAACCCAGAACAGTGTATTTGGTCTGGGCATAGTGGCTCACGTCTGTAATCCCAACATTTTAGGAGGCCGAAGAGGGATGATCACTTGAGCCCAGGAGTTTGAGACCAGCCTGGGCAACATAGAGAGACCTTGTCTCTACAAAATAAAAAAAAATAGCTGGGCAGGGTATCCCACACCTGTAGTCCCAGCTACTGGGAGGCTGAGGTGGGAGGACCCAGTGGAGCCCAGTTGCTCAAGGCTATGTGAACAACACTCTGATTGTGTCACAGCACCCCAGCCTTGGTGACACAGTGAGACCCAGTCTCAAAAAAAAAAAAAGTTTTTAATGTGGTTGTGAAGCTTTTTGGAAATGCCAAAGCAGAATTCTTAATGAGATACAAAATGTGCCCCCACAGAGCAATTGATGATCTGAAGCCTAAGATTCTTTTTTCTGGAGGTAAGAGAAGAGCAAGTAAAAGGAAAGATGGGGTAAGAGTCTGTCTTTGTGCAGGAGGGAGCAGTTGCTTGTCAATAAACTTTATGGGAAACGTCAGTTTAAAGTAACATTAACAGAACAGAAATAAGTTGTGAAACATCCAGCTCACAAGTAGGAGACAAATCGGAAAGCTTACCTTCAAGCAGAGGAGCCAGGAGGGAGGAGCAGACGCCCATCGACAGGGAGACTTCAGTCCTCCCGGGGTGTGCAGGACACCCCCTTAGGTGGAGGCTAAGACTTCTTCAAACACCAGCCTGGGCAACACAGTGAGACTGCATCTCTAAAAAAAATTAAACATTAAGGCCGGGCGCAGTGGCTCATGCCTGTAATCCAAGCACTTTGGGAGGCCAAGGCCGGCAGATCACCTGAGGTCAGGAGTTCAAGACCAGCCTGACCAACATGGAGAAACCCCGTCTCTACTAAAAATGCAAAATTAGCTGGGCCTGGTGGTGCATGCCTGTAATCCCAGCTACTCGGGAGGCTGAGGCTGGAGAAGCACTTGAACCCGGTCGGTGGAGGTTGCAGTGAGGTGAGATCATGCCACTGAACTCCAGCCTGGGCAACAAGAGCGAAATTTCGTCTCAGAAAACACAACTCCCCAAGCACAACTGTAAGACAAGATTTTGATGGGTTTGTTTACATAAAATTTTACGTAGAACAAAAAAATGGCAACAGCAGATAAAAGAAGGCATCTGCAGCCTTTAAAGCTGGTGGGGGTGTACTGTTTAGAACTCCCACACATCAGAGAAAGGAGACAGGAATCCTGATGGGAACACAGGCCAAGGCCCAGAGTGGGCAGCTCACAGGAAGCTGGGGTGCTGGCTGCTCCCTGCGGACGGGAAGGCTGGAAAGCTGGCAGCACAGCCATCCAAGAGTCGGTCCCCTGCGACCCAGCCACTGTCTGTCCGGCAGGGCTCCCAGGTGGCCAGGGCACAGTGCCAGAGTGCTCACAGAGGGTGCCCTGCACGCGCCTCCAGCCTCAGAAGGAGCACTGAACTGGAGCGTGGGCTGTTGACCGCCACCACTTCCTCTTCCACCAGCTAAGGGACACCCCCAAGTATGTCCCTAAATGTTACAAAAGGTATAAAAAGTTAGAGCCGAAGAAAGCTGGTGCAGTGGGTTCTGGGCCTGGGCTCTTCCCAGTGTGCCTGGGACCCAGCAGGACCGCTGCACTGGTTGTCCTGGCTTTCCAGCCTCCCTCCGTTCCTCATTCTCCCTCAAAAGCAACACAGCTTGCAAAACCACCCGCCCAAATGCAATTGCGTAAAGGACAACTCGAAAGACCCTCCCCAGGCCCGGATCCCCTTTACATGATCGTGCACATGTCCCCCAGAGGGCTCCCATCGTGGTGGGAGCCAGCCCTGAAGCTCTTGAGTAGACAGCCCTGAGGCCACCAGAGCCACTTTGTCACCAAGAGCAGGAAGCCGGGAGCTCCTGGGAGGTGGCATCTTCCTGGCAGGGTCCTTGGCCAGTGACTGAGCAGAGGAAGAGCCTACAGTTGCACCCAGGTGAGGAAGTGCCCAGCTGAGCCTGTGAAGTGCCATGGCAGGATGAGGCAGCCCGACATAGGACCTGGGGAGATGGTGCCCACTCGTCCTCCCTCTCCCTCGGCCTCCCCACTGCTTTCCTGGTTTCTGGAGCACTTCTCCAGTCCAGGCCATGTCCAGGGCTCCATCTCAGGAGACTGCAGGCCGGGCTTGGCCACAGTAGAGACCTCTCATGCAGATGCCCTCAGACTGCTGGTCTTGACCCAGAACCCGGCCTGCAGGGCCTTCCCACCATGGCAAGGTACAACATGGGTTACAGAACAGCCTGGAGGGATTTCTTTCTTTTTTCTTTTTTTTTTTGAGATGGAATTTTGCTCTTGTTGCCCAGGCTGGAGTGCAATGGTGTGATCTCGTCTCACCACAACCTCCGCCTCCCAGGTTGGAGCGATTTTCCTGCCTCAGACTCCAGAGTACTTGGGACTACAGGCATGCGCCACCACACCCTGCTAATTTTGTATTTTTAGTAGAGACAGTATTTTTCCATGTTGGTCAGGCTGGTCTTGAACTCCCAACCTCAGGTGGTCCGCACGCCTCGACCTCCCAAAGTGCTGGGATTACAGGCGTGAGCCACCACGCCCGGCCTGCCTGGAAGGAGTTCAGTAGGTGGCAGGGGGCACCTGGAACAGCAGGCTGAGCTTGGGCTCACCAGTGGAGTGGTGCTGGGAGGGCAGCGAGCATGGTGATAGGCTCCAGGAGAATGCCTCCTGCTGGGCGCCAAGGAGGCAGGGGGAGGGGCAGAGGAGGGAGAGAAATGGGCAGAGGGCTAGGAGAAAAAAGAGGAGGGGAAGAAAGGATAGGAGGAGGAGGAAGAGGAGAGGGTACAGTGGGGGAGAGGGAAGGAGGGCTAGGAAGAGGGGAGAGGAGAAAGGCAGAGGGGGAGAGAAAGGATAGAAGGACCAGGAGGAGCGGGAGGAGGGGAGGAGAAGAATGAGGAGGAGGAGGACAGAGAGGATGGGAGAAGGCTAGGACCCCTCCTGTCGTTTTGCAGATGGGGCCCTGAGCGTGGGATGTGTCTGAGGTCACCCCTCAGGCATTAGCAGAGCCAGCACTATGACCTGGGTCTCCCAATCTCCCTAGCCCCCCAGGTGAAAACCTGGCCCACCACTCAGCGCATGCTATGTAACCTCGAGGAGCCTCAGTTTCCCTCCATGTTAAGAACGCTTGCTAGGCCTGCCTGGCTGGGCTTCCAGCAGCAGTGGCACCTGTGGCTGTTCCTGCAGAATCCCACCTCCACCTGACCCTCCAAGGCAGCAGCCAGTGCCAGCTCTGACATCTCTAAGCAAATCAGGCTCCCGGAGGACGGCAGCATTTGCATTCAGGTGTGTGAAGGCCCAGGGAAGTGGGCTGCCTCTGTTTGCAGCTCTGAGCCCCACACCCCGTCTTCAAACAAAGATAGATCCTGCTCCAAAGCCGGGAGGACTTGCCCTGGCCAGCTGTGCTGGGTGCCTCCCCTGCCTGCTTCTCGCCCACGCCCACGTGCAGGCAAGGTGAGGGCAGGTGAGTGGCTGCCATTGCCTGGGCGGGGCTCCAGGGACCGCCCCTCCCCACCCTCTGCCCTGGGATGGCCTGACTCTACTGCCCAGACCAGGCTCATGCTGGGAGGTGGGCCATGACCTCCGAGGCCTCTTCTGGAAGCCACGGTGCCAGGTGGGGACCCACCCTAGACGTGTGGGTCACAGGGAGAGGGGGAGCGTTGGCCTCCAGGGAGGCAGGGTGGTGCCCAGCACACCGGGGCCTTCACACACCCTGGCCAGGGGGAGGCAGTGCTAGGCCCACCC